ATTTTTTCATTAAATTTATATAACATTTAGGAACATTTTCAATAATTTTAGGACGTTTACCTTTACAAATATCTAAATAGATTGAAAAGTGTTAATACTAATTACATATTATTAATGTTGAATAAGATATTCTCACTTCATACTATGCTCCAAAATTTTTAAATTCATGATGAGTTAGTTCACCAGATCTGAACGTAGAAAATTGACACTTGGCCAACGCTTTTGAATAATTTTTCGATGATTTGGGAAATCAAACATATCTTCAATATCTTCAAATGGAATTAAGTTTGATTTATTTTGGTATAATAAGTACAACAGAATATGCATAAGTATTAATATATAATTGTTGTTTCGTTGAAACTTGGTAAACCTGGAACGTTTGTGTCATCTACGGGTGATTTTTTGGGTATTAAAGTTGTAATAGTTGAATAACATTTTGATCCTTTTAAGGATCCTTCTCAAATGTGTGCCACTCATTTAAATCATACCATATTTTAATACATTCAATAAAAAAAATATGCGTCGGAAACCGTTTTAGCAATTTAACAAAACCACTTGAATACAATACACAATATTTCCTAAATATATGTAACAATAATTGTATCATTTGGTTTTGCGATCTAATCTATCGGCGTGTATGTGTGTAATGCTAAATTGGGCTTACCACTGTGAATAATAAATCGCCAAATTCTCATCTTTCCGACCTACAAATAAATAAAATATTTTTATATAATTGTATACTAAATATCGAAATACATAATTTAAAAGTAATTTGAATTTATTAACATATGGCTTAGTTACGTTTCTAAAGCTTCTTGGATTAGTTATGTTATCAAATTTTCCTATTTAGTTACATTACCAAAGCCACTTTGCTTAGTTACAAGCAGACTGAAAAACAAAGACCTAGAACTTATGAGAAGACGAAGTTGATAATATCTCTTCTCCGGAAACTTTACCCGCACATTACAACACCAATATCCATTTGCGACTAAATTAACATGAACGATGTGTAGACCAGAATTATCGTCCGTGGGCAGAATTATATTCATTGTATATATACAATAGCTTAAATGATAAGCCCAGTAAGACTGATACTTAAAAAATACTATATAAAGTAGAGACCTGCATAAGTCAAAAATTTTGAAGCCCGGCCCGGCCCGGACTTAATTATAATTTATGGCGAACCGAAATTTTTAAACGCTCTAAAATAACTGTTAATTATTCGCTTTTAGATCAATTACGGCTCACAACCACTAATTATGACTTCATTGAAAATTTATCCATCATGTTTACCAAAGATTTACATCCATGAAAAACCAAGATTTTAGTATCTGATGGTAATAATAAACTTGTTCCGGTCATTGTGGAAGATATAACGAATGAGAGTTAGATCAAGACATGATTTTCACGATTTTCAAACTATTTTAATTTTCTGAAAAGTTCCGATAGATAACGTTCTCATTATTTTTAATTCTAGGAATGGCACGATGAATATATTAGTTTTTACACTAGGGCAGGCTCAGTTATCGCCGAAGACGTATTAATTTCTTGTTACGACGATTGCCCTCCTTCACAGTCGCTCATGGACCTTGTTTTTTTACCAGTACGCTGGTGGACCCTTTTCAAACCAAGCACGCATCGCGTAAGCCGCCTTCATCCCTATGTTTAGTTCTTGGAAACGGCATATTTTTCTTTTATCAATTTATTTGTGCAATAATTTTTATATAATTATCGTTTTTTTTTC